CTGTGTAGTTTGCTTCCATGTAGTCAATCAGCTGAATGAGGCTAGGATTCCTAAGGGTCTGTTTCTTGGGATGCCCATCTCTCCTGTGTGTATTTTTGTTTCCTGGTGATCAAGAAGACTGACACACCCAATTTCTCACTCTAGTGAGTCTCTGCTGTCCTTTACTGTAGGAGAATCATTTAGGAAAGAAAGAACATTTAAGATCATGAAGTCCCACAGTAAAGCTGACCTTGCCAAGCCCTCCACTAACCTATGTCCCCAAGTACCACATTTATATGTCTTTTAAACCCCTCCAGGAATGGTGACTCCATCAGACCCTTCCAGGGCCTGAGCTCCCTTGCCATGGAGGAATTCCTCCTGGTGTCCAAGCTGAGCCTCCCCTGGCACAGCTTGAGGCCGTTTCCCCTTGTCCTGTCCCTGTTCCCTGGCAGCAGAGCCCGACCCCCCCCTGGCTGTCCCCTCCTGTCAGGGAGTTGTGCAGAGCCAGAAGGTTCCCCTGAGCCTCCTTTGCTCCAGGCTGAGCCCCTTTCCCAGCTCCCTCAGCTGCTCCTGGGGCTCCAGCCCCTTCCCCAGCTCCATTCCCTGCCCTGGACTTGTTCCAGCCCCTCCAGGGCTCTCTGGCTGGGAGGGGCTCAATCCTGAATGGGTTTTGCATAAACTAACCTCTGATCAAAGACCCCAGAATTCTGCAGGTGACACCAACCCCATAGAGAGGTGTCAATCTGCTCTTCCTGGAACTGGAATGATAGAGGAGTACATTGCTTCTGCTCCTGATCTTTCAATCAGTCAATCCAAGGCTCTGAAGTACCTGGATTTCCCTCAGACCTCTGGTTGTGACTTCACTGCTGCTCCTTTGAGAAATCAGTCATGGATAATAATCTGAGGGCTGTACTGGAGTAGGAACCTTTATCTTCTCATCTTCACTCCAAGCCCCAGGGAGGCAGGAAACATCCCTAAGGATGGTCTGTTCTGCAGGTGCGGCCTTCTGCTCCCTTCAAAAGGAGCTCATGATGACTTATTTTCTTTATCAAGGCTGTCATGGGGGCTGGCACAGGTTTGGCCTCAGTGTGTCAGCTGTTAATCCTCCAGGCTCCTGTGGGGAAAACCAGGGCAGCTCTAGGTTTCAGCAAAATTTAAAATCTGTGTGCCACTTTTAGGGTAAAAGCTCACATGTTTCTGAAGGAGGTAATGAAGTTGCAAATTGCCTCATCATTCTAATGCATGCACATTGCCCTTCTGTTTGGCAAATCTGCAATCAAGCCATTGATTTGGCTTTGCTAATGCTGGCTAATCATGCAGAGGTGGAATGGGAGCTGTGACTGATCAGCTCTGGGAGCAGCTCTCTGGGGCTGACAGATTGGGAAAAGCAGGAAGCTGGGAGAACAGTGCTGTGCTCTCCTACTTTACATGGCAGTGTTATCCTTAAAGTGGATTTAAATGATCCCAGCTGGCTGCTGCCAGATGCATTGTCTGTGAGCCCCTGAGAGAATTCCACGTGACCCAGGATGGTGTGTGTGTGTCCCTGGGAAATGAAAGTCTGCCAGGTGGTGTTCCTTGGAATTCCCCGAGTCCCTCACCCTCAGAGCTTTTTGTTGAGTTGGATTGTAAGTAAGGTAGGGACCCAAGCCCAACTTCAGTGGGTGAGCGCCTGGAGATATTGTGTTGCTTTGAGTAGCTCCTAATGGACATTGAGCTGAGGCAGCAGAGTGTCCTGGGGGACACAGAGCTGTCCCTGAGGCAGCAGAGTGTCCTGGGGGTGCTGGGGGACACGGAGCTGTCCCTGAGGCAGCAGAGTGTCCTGGGGGTGCTGGGGGACACGGAGCTGTCCCTGAGGCAGCAGAGTGTCCTGGGGCCAAGGAGGCCAATGGCATCCTGGGGGCAGCAGGAGGAGCATTGGCAGCAGGGCAGGGAGGGATCCTGGCCCTGTGGGCAGCCCTGGAGGCAGCTCTGGAGTGCTGTGTCCAGCTCTGGCTCCTCAGCACAGCAGGGCCAGGGAGCTCCTGGAGCGGGGCCAGCGGAGGCTGCGCAGCTGAGGAAGGGCCTGGAGCATCTGGGTGCCCAGGAAAGGCTGAGGGAGCTGGGGCTGCTCAGCCTGGAGAGGAGCCCCAGCTGAGAGGGGCCCTCAGGCCTGGCTGGCCCTGGCTGCAGGGAGGGCTCCCAGCAGGGCCCAGCCTCTGCTCCGGGGGCCCAGCAATGGCACCAGAGCCACGGGCAGGGCCTGATGGCAGCAATTCCCCCTGGCCAGGAGGCACAACTTCTTCCCTGGCCACTGCCCAGCCCTGAACACATTGGCCACAGAGGCTGTGGGCTCTCCTGCCTGGGGCTGTGGCACAGCTGTGTGCACACAATGCTGTGTCCTGTGCTCTGGGATGTGCTC